TGAAAGGTGGTTTATGAAACACAACGTATTTTTTAGAGATCATATTCATAAGCACCGGGTAATAGTCCGATAAGGAATCTACCATGATGTCACACTATATGCAGTGATTCGAAGGATCCCCTCTGACCAGAATAAAATCTAGTCACCTCTTTGGTTGGGGGGACGTTTTGGATGGACGGGGGCTGTGCCACGTAAATCCGGAGAAATCCGGGTTAAGGATTCTATAGACGTCACACAGGTTATGGGCTTCCATAAAGGAAGTCAATATTAATGCGTCTTCTCATATTGGGCAGATGTTAAGGGAGTCTAGCCCCGAATTAAGAGTGTAGTTCGAATCCCAAAGCATTTGCAAATTTTCAGTATCTGGAAGAATTTTTGGAAGGTCCGCACATCCTGAAGGAATACTTTACTTAGGCATAAAGCGAAACCACCGTACACTGCTAGTAGTTTCATCCAGACCCAACGACCTTCCAAATCATAGCATGAGTCAATGACATCTGCCTCTAAGTTTTTATCCAATAATATGACCACCGCCTTCAAGTTTTAGTCCCCACCGCAGGAGACCACACTTGAGGGCCTTGCCACCAATCTGAGATTTCCGTCATTTTATCGGGTCCAATTTTGGTCTCATGTAAACGTAGTATTTGTACTTTCAGAGAAAATGACCAAGATGACAGTCTATGCCTATCCATAAGATCTCCTAACCCACGAACATTCCAACTAGAAAGTCTGATTCTATTGGGTAGAACCATTCATGCCTGTTGGACCGCTGTGAGTTTGGATGCGGTTTTTGCGGTCCGGTCCTCTCTCAACCAACGTTGTATCTCCATTTGTTTGTGGGGGCCCCATCATCTCTCCTACTAAGAAATTCAAGCTTTTCTCGACTTTCCTCTTCAAGAGCATTTCAAAGAAAAAGTCAATCATCAGCAGGGAGCGATTGTTTGTTTGGGCCACCCAATCTGCCACTACGCTGGCTGTCAGTCCCGACAGAAGGCGGATGCCTCGTGAGGTGTCAGATTGGGGGGAGACCAAATGTAATAGTTCAACCCAAATTCTCGGTTCGTCCCATTTGAATTTATTGTCGATATTCTGCGAGAGATCCAAGAAGGCTAACAAAAGTCTGATCTTACCCCCATCCGGTGTGTCCACGAGGTGGCGTGCCATCTTTGGAATAGGGAGGAGGTTGACCCTCCCCAACCCCTGCAGCAACTGGATTTTTATTAAACTACAGATCATAACCGGGGATGGGGAGCTTCTTAACAAAGTTGATGGGAGGATGAGAGACTCATCTTTACCCATGACCGTTAAAAACCTCGGTCCATGAGCCTGTGAGAGCATATCATGGGAACAAGATAGTCCGAAACTCGTAAACATAGGCAATGACCACCGGGCTGGATGGTCTGTCTGGGCTCTACCTCGTTTCATCGGCGAAGATCTGACCACCTCATCATCCATCGGCCCTGTTTTCTCTTCTCTTAGCCTGACCTGAAACTTTTGGCCTTCGATTTTGGGTCATTCGAGTGATGAGGTCGAAGGCTGAGGTTTATCCCTTCGAGGCCGTTGGGACCGTTCGCCCCGAGACTTCAATGTAGTAGCAGGGGCGCAGGCCGTAAAACGGGCAAGGGATATATTGCCTTCCCCCTTCTACAGAGTTTCCCTGCTGTTCTGTGTTATGCTCTTCTCTGCCTCTTGGGGAGTTCGCAGCCCGTCAGGGTTGCGTTTTCCCCCCCTGAGACATTTCAACGTTCAACATTATTTCAACGTCGTGGTCGTCGGGAGGGTGGGCATTTTGAGGTTTTGGGGCCTTGCAATGGCCAAGACCGCGTAGGACCGGTAGCTGCGCGGAGGAGGCTGAGGAGGCCGCGGTCCTGAAGCCTTTTTCGAAATTGAAACGATGCGGGTGCACTTTTCTCGAATACCACAGTGTCCTCGAATAGAAAATGTACAGGTTGTATTCGAATACAACCTGTACCCTTTCTATTCTATTCGGATTTCGAAAAGAAAAACAGGAACGCGTAGGACCGGTAGCTGCGAGTAGGAGGCCGAGGAGGCCGCAGTCCTTTTTCGAAATTGAAACGGTGCGGGTAGTCCTTTTTCGAAATTGAAACGGTGAAGGTCCTACACGTTGTATTCGAATACAATTTGTACCTTTTCTATTCGGATTTCGAAAAGAAAAACCTCTTGTATTGCGATAAAATTACTTCTTCTTTTTGTTGGAGGTCAACGCCTGCCCTTGTGCTCCCCGCCACTGACATGCTGCATGCTGCA